GAAAAAACTGTATCTGGCGGTGCCAGAGACGGTATTTATATTATAGGGCAACCAAAAGGAAATAATAAAAAGTAAAAAGACAGAAGTGTCCCTGCGGCACATAACTGAATAAATTACATTATATTAGCTTGCTTGATGAGGAGGGGAATAGAGAGGTTTCAAAAAAAAAAAAAAAATTCAAGGGAGATCATACAGGTCATCTTGGGATGGTGATTGTTGGATCACTGGTATCTTTTTTCATAGGTTCAGAGCACGGGCATAAGCAGATTAATTTGGGGGCACAGGCAAAAAGTGCTGCAAACAAGAGGATGGATGTACTCAGGGTAACATAATTGATGTACAATCAGTTTCCTCAAATGGATATGGAAAAGAGAAGCCAGGACAGAGACTAAATGCAAATAAGGGAGATTATGTTGAAGTGCATGTTGGAAGGACAACTGTGGACTTATGCAAAGGTGGATTGAGGTTTCAGGGAGATGAGGTGGATGCATCTAAAACAGGTGTACTGTATCATCATTAAAAGAAGGTATTGAAGGATAGTATAGCAAGAAGGGCAGAGAAATCTTTGACTGATTTGCATTACAAAGGTTTTTTTCCTGGTTGATAGGTGGATTATGTGGGGCTAGTCCATGTAAAAACTCAAGAAAGTCTACAAAAGGAGATGAATCAAAGATTTACAAAATCCTGATGATGCTGGTTTAGTAATGTGAGTTGCAGGATAAGTTACTGATCCAGTGTTATGGTGTGACTTACATATCAACCATTTCTATAAAATGGAATTACCGGTTACTGATCCCCCCCCAAAAAAATTGAGACTGTCAAATGTTGAGATCTCAGCACTATTAAAATCTCTAGGTCTAGACTCTAGAGAGCTGGCTAGAGAATTAGATGTGGTTTGCAGTTGGGCTAACAGGTAAGCAAACAATGTTGACTCACTTGTAGGACAAGGAATCCACAAGGGTTAGGTAGCTTGGGCTAGCCTAAGTTTTGTAATTATTACTGTACATATTACTTCAATTTCAATGAATGTACTTTACAGTTACCATTCAAAAAAAAAACATCACGAGAAAATTATCACACAATATTTACCAGAAGAATTTCTTTATCTTATTCATTATTATGATAGGCTATTGTGTTTAAGTTTCTCCTACTTATGTGCTTGGTCTTCCTACTAAAGCATTGTAATTGTGAAGCTCAAATTGTTTAACAGATTAGCTACCGTGAAAGATGATGGAACTGTGGAATTTGAAGTACCAGTTGATGTGAAACCTGAAGGCTTTGATTTTAGAGCTGATGATGTATATAGTGTTTCTGTTGATGATGAACCTCTTCACTCTACAGACCTTCAGTACATACCACCACTCCAAATAGTAATGCTTATTGTTGGTACACGTGGAGACGTACAACCATTTATTGCCATTGGTAAACGTTTGCAGGTTGTGACTGCATTTCTAATTTCCTATATTTGTTGAAATTTAGATTCTAGGTTTTCTTATTTACTTTGTTTTGTTATCTTGTTCCAAACCATCAAACAAAACCAAGAAACTATGGTTAATAGATAAAATAGCATGCTGCAAAGTTGTCCATTGTTCTTTAAGTCTACATAATAGAGTAAATTCAAGCAAAGTTTAAACTCACAGAATATGTCAAATAATTCTAATAGATCAACCAAGTAATCTTTCATACAAACAAAAGCTAAGATTTAATGTTGCATACTTGCATTCAAAAAGAATTTTGAGTTGGGTCCAAGTGGTCATCATCTTCATTGGGCAGGTGATTATTGCTGTTCTACAAATCTACAATACTATTGCCAACTCATTGTATATTAATACAATCTTCTGTACTCGTTTACGTAGTGCCAATAGTTTTGAATAGGGATATGCTGATTATAGTAATATTTCATACTGGTACACATGACAGAAATTTTTCATGGAAATATTAGGAAATATGTTGACATTTTAAACCATGGTAATGAAGAAAAGAATATATGGTGCAAGAGGAAGGTTATGACTTTTGAACTCTAGCCTACAAGAAAGGATGCTTGACACAACCTGTTCTGCATATCATTCAGTGGTAAGAATAGAGATGACAAGGGAGGACAGGGGCAAGAGAAAACAGGCAAAGAATTGAGAGAACAAAATTGGATCTGGTGGCTACCCACTTGTTATTTATATTAGGGTGTCTAATAAGGGATTAAAGTACGTAAGCGGCCTTGTGACACTTGAGTATAGAGTACAAACTCCCCCTCAAGTTGGGTCATATATGTTATTCATTCCCAACTTGTTATAGATTTCATTGTGTCTCAAGCTAGCTAGACCCTTTGTGAAAACATCATCCAGTTGCTCTTTAATGCCAACATAAGGAATACAAATTACACCCATCTGCATCTTTTCTCTGATAAAATGCTTGTCAATCTTTATATGCTTCATCCTGTCATGCTGGACAGGATTATGTTCTATGTTAGTAGCAGCTTTATTATCACAGTATAATGGTCTAGTGCAGTAGGGCTTAGTGGTGGAAATCCCAACTTTGCAAGAATGATCTTCAGCCACCACACTTTTGCAACCTCATGTGCCATATCATGATACTTTGCTTTAGTGCTTGGTCTAACTACAAGAGTTTGTTTCTTGCTCGTCCAAGTCACAAAGTTACCTCCAACAAAGGTATAATTCCCTGTAGTGTATCTCCTGTTATCTACAAATCCAACCCAATCAACATTAGTATAGACCTCCACCCTTAGATGCCCACTCTTGGCAAAGAGGATGTCTCTCTCAGGGTGAGGTAGAACTATATACACTTCTTCTTCAAGATCCCCTTTCAAGAAGGCATTCTTGATATCAAGCTAGTGTAACTGTCACCCGAGATTTTTTCCCAAGTGAGAAGGACCTGGTTAGAGTTAATCTTAGCAATGGGTGCAAATGGTTTCTATGTAATTGATCTCATATGTCTGTGAAAATCCCTTGGCCACCAATCTAGCTTTATATCTCTATGTGGCCCCATTTGGAAATTGCTTTATTGAGAACACCCACTTGCATCCTACTAGTTTCATCCTTTGGGGAAAATATACTATCTCCCATGCATTGTTCTTATGAAAAAGGTGTGGTTCGTAATTTCGTGATATTTAGCGAATTTCCCCAAAACATCTCAGTCTTGCTAGGTGGGATACAAAACTTTTTGGGAATCTTTTTTGCTCCCATTTTCTTCAATGTTTTGCTAATATGTTGGTGATATTTCAGATTCATTGATTATATTTTTTTAAGATTTAAAAGTTCTAAATATTATTAAAAGCTTTTTTATTTCATTCAAATCATCATTTTTTTAAGAACCAATGGGGAATTGGTGATTGGATAGTTGGCATACTATTTTGATATGGTTTGCTTACTTAGTCATTATAATTAAAAAAGAAAAGAAAAATGCATACAGCTACAAAGGAGGATTCTCAATTTAATCAAGACATATAGTAACAAAAAGACAAAAGGGCAAGTAAATGACATATTTAATGAAGATGAGATAGCTAAAAGACTAAAAGGGGGACAAAGAGAAAAAAACCTATTAAGGTCTTAATTTTCTCCTATTTGATTTATATATTTCTCGATTATGTATTTTTAAGCCTTAAATGTTCAACTAAACTTCTTCCAACAATTCCCTGAAGTTTTATTTACTAATTGCATATTTTGAGTTAACTTTCCTAATTTTTTAGATTTTCTAAATATCTTAGAAAAATTACAAATTATCTCTAAAATCTCTCCATCTCTATATAGTGAAATGTCCATAGAAATTGAAATTGTAAACCATGGAGATAGTAGATATTTAAGCATGATAAGGAGATAATCTATTATGAGTAGTATAATTTGCAATAAGATACCAAGTAGCACATGAGTGAGTACCTTTATGAATGGTAATGGGAACATTAAGATTATTAGAAGAAACACCTGGTTAATTTGAATATGTATTTTTCTTTTAGGTTTGCCTCATGAAAGTTTGTTGGAATAGGTTGATAGCTTTTGGTTGCTTCATGCCTTGTGATATGGCGCTGATCGCATCCTTAGGGTGATAGGAATAAATAGGGTGTAAGATGATGTCGATGACATGGGAATAGGTAAAGGAAACTGCATTTGCCTCTCTTCAAGTTCATTAGATTTCTACCCTTAAGGAGAGGTAGGATAGAATAGTTGACTTTGTAAGAAGGATACATCCATGGATATAAGGACTTTTTGAGAAGACAAATCATAACACTTATAGCCCTTATGAGCTGATGGATATTAAAGGAATATACAAGAAATGGATTTAGGATCCAACTTGCTATGTGATGGAGACAAGTCATGAATAATGCATGACAACCAAACATACAAAGGGGAATAGAGAATAAGGGAGGTTGGGGGAAAAACAACTAATGGGGGGGCTTGAACTATAGGATTTGTGATGGCATGCAATTAATCATGTAAGCCGAAATTACAACATTTGCCTATAACTTCTTCGGAACATGTATATGAAACTTAAGGTCACTTGCCTCTAGAAGATATCTGTTCTTCCTCTTAGCTTCACCGTTCTATTGAGGTGTTTTGGGGCAAGATTCTTGATGAATAGAACCATTTATAGAATGGAACTGGTTCACTTCCCCTTTAAAGTATTCTCTTGCATTGTTTGAACGAAAAACTTAAATCCCCGACATGAAACTAACTGAATTATCATATGAATGGAAGTCTTGATTTACTTTAAGAACTTACTTGTGGGGTCAAAGTAAATAAATTTATGTATACTTTGAATAATCATCAATAAAATATTTGTAGCCACCAGTAATTTAAAAGGCATGCCTCAGGCATGCCTAGGTGCACAAGCAAGGTGCATTTTAGGGTATGTGCCTCACCTAGGTCCGAGCTGCAATACTTTCTAAAGGCGCACTCCTAGTAAACTTAGGCGTGTGCCTGGTGTGCTTTGCGCTTATGCCCAGGCGCACACCTTTTGAAAATCTGTGCATTTTCTCTGTTTTGCTGTTTTTTTTTTGTGTACAGAGCGGAGAGAACTCCATATTTGCTAATGTTGCTCATTCATTCATCCTAATAAAAGATATTTTTAAAAGAAACTTAAAGCTACAAAACCTTTTTTTATTGGGATTAAGAATTTAAGACCCTGATATGGACTTGTGTGCGCTTCCCTCTAAGGGCTTGGTAAAAGGTGGCTCACAGAATAAGGAATGCATAATGTTTAAAATCACATTAGCTGTTTGAAGTAATGCAATTAGGAAAAAATAAAGAGATTAAGACTTTACATGCTTGAATATGTTTTATATGTTATGCTTGATTTTATTTTTAAATTTTCATTTCAAATATGTTTTAAATGTTATGCTTATGTATTTTAATTTGAGATAATAGTTTTTTTAAACATATATTTTAAAATATAAGTTTATTTTTTTAATTAATAATTTGTTTACCATTTTAATATTTTGAATTTTTGGCATTTTTTTGAATTTTGTTTTTTGCATTTTTGTGCCATGCTTCAAAATGGTATGCACCTTGCCTTGCTCTTCGCGCCTCAGGTGCAAAATGGCCCTTGCACTTTTTTTGCACCTTGCGGTTTTAAAACACTGTTAGCCACCTCTATCAATGATAGAGGAAGGCATCCACATTAGAATGCAAAATATGGAAAAGAAAATAAGATGTTTTATTACTTTGAGGAAACAATGTTCTACAATGTTTATTGAACTGACATGTAGGTCATTGCAGAAAAGAGATTGAAACAGACTTAAAACTCAAGAAAGAAGGCCTTTAATGAATTATGCGACCCAAGCAATATATATATATATATATATATATATATATATATATATATACATTAATTTTATCTTTATAATATGATAACGAGGTTGAATAGCCATTTATATCAAGTTTGTACTCCTTGAAGTGGCAATTACTTTCATCAAAGATTTATTGGTAGAGAAGTGATATATANATATATATATATATATATATATGGCTTTTCCTTTTTGTTAAGCCATGTCTTCTAACCAACAACATTATCAAGTTTGTACTCCTTGAAGTGGCAATTACTTTCATCAAAGATTTATTGGTAGAGAAGTGATATATAKTTTTTGTCATGATTCATGAGACCTTTAGGTTTCTTACACGTTAACTGATGGAGCCTTTAATATGGATGGTTTATTAATGCAACTGAGTATCTATAAGTTTTTCTGATCATATTGTTGAATAGGTTGCCCGTTTTGGAAGTTTATGTTGACATGGGTATCAACATGCAGGATTATGGTCATCGTGTTAGGTTGGCAACCCATGCAAATTTCAAAGAGTTTGTCTTGACTGCTGGGTTGGAGTTTTATGCTTTAGGTGGGGATCCAAAAGTTCTTGCTGGCTGTAAGTCACCTACACCTTTTAGGGCCTATAATCCATTATCCTCCCCTGGATAACTCTTCATGCTTGTGGATAATTTTTATTGTCTCATCATTGTTTGAACTACTAAAAAGATATAATTTTATATTCAAATTTGATTTGATCTAATTCCAATATTCCATTTAAAATTTTTTTAGGACAGTGATATAGAATGTGTGGCAATGGCCAGAAAAGGACAAAACTTATTCTTTCATGGTAATTTGTAGCCAAGTTCTAAAGTATCACACGTATTAGTTCATGTTGGCTGATATGTCATTTTTGGGTCCTCCCAATGTGATTTCCATATGGATATTTGCAGATCTGTGTTTTTTCTGTGGTATTGATACGTATCTCTCTCACTATATATGGATTTCTCAACAAAAGTCATGTGGATTAGGAGAGTGCAATATGTTAGGTTACAGTTTCTAGTTATCTAAAATCTCTGCTGCTTGAATAGATATCATGAGATACCACCCAATGGAGAATATCATTGAACAAAGGTTCATGGAAATAGGTTTATGGAGAAGATCATTGAATGTTGATGCAAAACATTTGTAGCTTGAAGAGACGAAAGTTGAGGGTACATTGACTTTGAAGATTAGGGAAGTGAAATGGGCTTTGGTGATGCTGGTAGGAGTTGAACAAAGGTTCATGGAAATAGGTTGATGGAGAAGATCATTGAATGTTGAAGAAAAAAATTTGTAGCTTGAAGAGATGAAAGTTGAGGGTAGATTGACTTTGAAGATTAGGGAAGTTAAAGGGGCTTTGGTGATGCTGGTAGGAGTTGAGGCTGTGGAATGGTTCAAGAGCTTTGTTGCAAGCTGTCTTATTGAGTGGGGAAAAGGAGTTGAAAGTCATGAAGATGGAAGGGAGGAGAAGATATGACGAGAAAGAAAGAGGAACACCAAAGGTGATTTCATAGCTGTTTTCTGAATTGTTTGGTAATGGGAGGAACAATTAGTGTGTTTCCCTGAAGGAAGAAGAAGTCAATGCTGGAAGGAAAATTGCAGTGTGTTGCAACAGTTTTTAGAATGGTTGGAAGGAGTACAAACGAAATTCAATTACTTGGGAGATGAAGTGAAGACATGAGAAACAGAGAAGGAAGAAGAGCATTGCCTCATCAGAGATGAGGGATCTCTGCTTGAAGTTGTGACAACTGCAAAGTCGAATGGTAAAGGAAAGATCCTTGTCAGTTCTGGGAAAGAAGATTGGGAGAGAAAATTGGTGGTTGAGGCCAGGGAACTGTAAGAGATTGGWGGAAAGTTGCTGTTTCTATCACTCAGTATGAAAAAAGTAAAGCCCTGCTTGATCTGCAAGAGGACAAGGTAGAGGTTKCTTTGGAGGTTGTCCAGGGTGAATGTGGTATTGTAACGATTTCCAAGTGGTGCCCTTTTTCTAATACAAAATAAATTTTATGTAGGGGATGGTGTGATTGTGAGAGTTATCCAGCTGCCTTTTCATCTTTGGAAGCAAGAACTGTTTGAATTCAATCGCTTTGATTTGTGCTGGAAAGCTAGATGGTGTCTTCCAAGTTGATCTTCACTTMGCTGCTGTGATGTTAAGTGGAGTAAAGCCACAAGAAATACTGAGGAAGATTGAGGTGCTAGCAGGAAGTTTGTGCTATTTTACATGGTTGGCAACTACCATTGAAGCTGCTTTGTGGAAAGAAGATAACATCGTAGAAGATGAAGAGGTGGAAGAGGATGTGCTGTGTAGCAAATTGAGACTGGGTGATTTAAATGCAAATGGAACTTTCTCAAAAATAGTTAAGCAATGCCTGGAATTGGTAAAGGGTGGGGGTCAGGGGGAAGTATTCAGACACTTAGAAGATCTGTGGTGGTGCGTGGTAGGTCTTTTGTTCAGGAGCTGAACAGTGATACTTTTGGACCGGTAGGTTGTAGTTTTGATGGATGCTGTGAAATCCCTATTCGATTCTAGGTTAAAGTAGAGAAGAAGAAGAGAAGAAGAAGAAGAGAAAGAAGAAGAAGGGTTCAGCCAGATTAGGAAAAATCAGTCCACCTCTAGCTGACCCACTTGTATTTATCTCCAATAACATAGTTACAAGAAAAGACCATATTGTCCCTCATAAGTGATGGGACACATAACTTAAACTTAAATAAACTAGACCTTTCACTCTCAAATAGATAAACCCAAATGACCAAAATACCCCTGATTTGTGTATTCTAATACCCCCCCTCAAAATGGAGAGTATATGTCATATAGTCCCAGCTTGTCACAAATATAATCTACTCTGCCCCGAGACAATCCCTTTGTAAAGAGATCTGCCCACTGATTTCCTGAGCTCACATGAGATGTGGTTATCACTCCACTTTTCACTTTCTCTCTCACAAAGTGACACTCGACCTCAATATGTTTGGTTCTCTCATGGAAGACTGGGTTGGAAGAGATGTGAACAGCAGCTTGGTTATCACAGTATAGTCTCATGGGTTTTTTAACCAAGAACCCCATCTCTTGTAGCAAGTTCTTCAACCATATTAGTTCACATGTGGTATGAGCCATAGCCCTGTACTCAGCTTCTGCACTACTCCTTGCCACCACTGTTTGTTTCTTGCTCTTCCAAGTTACAAGATTGCCACCAAGGAAGGTACAATACCCTGTGGTTGATCTTCTGTCTGATATAGAACCAGCCCAATCAGCATC